ATAATGAAAAATCACCTTCTTTAAATAAAGATAAACGAAAATGTAAAAGTTATTTACAAGCTTTTAAAATTCTCGCTTATCTAAAAGATCGTGTGAATAAAGATAATAAAATAAAACTCGACATTAAAGATGTTTTCAATGAAGTATGTGAATATGCAAAAAATACCATTGAAACATATGATAGTTGGGTGCGTAATCATTATGAAGCCCAAGTCTGGCAACATATCTATGTTTTAGGTAAAGAAAAAGATCATTGGGCTAAAGAAATAGTAAATATAACACATACACGGGAGGCTAAGATAAATGTGTCAATATGTGAGAAAAAATTAGCACAATTGACATCGACATGTTTCGATGCTAATAATATAATTACACGAAATATGCGAGAACTTTCATCTAAAACAGCCACTGCTGCTACACAACGAGTACATGATCTTATACTCGATTATATTAAAGAGGCTACACAAGGTTTAGCTAAAATGAGCATTAATAGAATTCGTCGTGCTTCGATTGAAAAAGACGAATGGGATGCTCTAAAAACATTTGAAAATGTTGCATCAGAACAACAGAAAATGTATGCTAAAACCTTTTGTAAATCAACATTAATTAACTACCATAAGAAAAAGAAAAATTTTGAATTGGTAGCTGCACATATATCAAATGATATAATACCGAAAATCTTACCAAAGTATGACTTTAATCTTCCTGTGGACGAAAATTCACTTTCAAGTGAACAAGTCCAGAAGAATAAAGAAAACATACATAATTTATCGAAAGATTTTCGTCTTAAAGCAACAGAACTCTATCTAAAAATCGTCAAAGAAGAATTTGAATTTCAAAAAGAAAGATTACAAAATCTTATTGATGATTTTCCACAAGATAGATATGAAGTACCATCAACACAAATTGATACAAATATTGTTGTTGATGATGATGATGATGATGACGAAGAACCTTTAGATAATAGAGTTTTTACTCAAAAACCATTATCACAACAACGACAAGATACTATAAATAATGAAAAAGGTTCTGAATTATTTAAAAAATATATTGTAATTGCACATAAAAGAGCTCAATTAGAAATTGAAAGAGAAGTGCATTTTTTATCCGAACGAGGCGTCCAAGAGACGCCAGTCGAGACACAAGAGTCAAAAGATCTAAATCCAGTAATGAGAGTGGATTTTTTGCTCCAAGTATAATAAATCAATCTGATATAAATTTAAATAGGAGAGAAGAGGCCCTCCTAAAATTAGGCCCGAAATATATTCCTAATAACCCTCATCTCGCTCATAAACGTATGAGAACTGAGATAGAGTTGGTTATGAAAAAGATTGATAAAATATTCATTGAACATGGATGGATACTACCTAAACAACGAATACAGATCTTTATAGACTCGCTCGAAAAGATCTTAACTGATTGTCATAGAAGACATCCGTCATCTGTTCAATTAAAAGAAATCAATAATTTAAGAAATAAATTTGAAGCCACACAAACAGTCATCAGAAAGACAGATAAGTCTAAAGTTTTTCATTTAGGAAAGCTGGATGACTATAAAGTGAAGGCTCAAACATATATGATTAAGACTGAAGCTTATCAAGATTTGGGTGTAATAAACCCACTTGAATCTTTAGTTGAACGTACAAATAAGTTCCTTTATGGTTTATGGTATAATAAACATATTACACAAAAACAATATGAGAAATTAAAGGTTAATCAAGAAGAGGCTGAATTAGCCCACCTTTATTTCTTACCGAAAGCACATAAACCAGGAACACCATTAAGACCTATAATGTCTGGTCTCAAATCTCCAACCATTGCCATATCGAAATGGTTAGATAGTTTATTAAGACCTCTTTTCGATCGATTAGCATCTGAAACAGCTGTATTGAATGGGGTTCAATTAATAAAACAAGTTGAGAGATGGTCGGATAAATATCTTACACCAGCCACATCATTCATAACAATGGATGTTACTGATTTGTATACAATGATTCCTCAAGAAGGAGGAGTAACAGCCATAAAAAGATTAATTGAAACATCTGGTTTAAAACAAATCGATGGTGTTAAAAAAGAGATTATATTAGCTCTTACCAGATTTGTTATAACAAATAATTATTTCTATCTTGATGGGTCATATTATAAACAAATAAAAGGAGGCGCAATGGGCTCGCCACTCACCCTCACTATAGCAAATACATACATGTACTTTGTTGAACGTCCAATATTCAAATGGGCTCAAAGAACATGTTCATTATATTATAGATATATAGATGATTTATTTATCATGTCAAATGTACATGCAGATATATTAAAAGGTCTTGTAAAATTCTGGAATAGACTTGATAATAATATCGTATTTTCAGAATTCATAGGACATACTGCAGAGTACCTTGATGTTAAATTAGAGAACAGAGGAGGAAAATTGGTATCTGAAGTTTACTATAAACCATCATACGAACCATATTTCCTCCCTTTCACAAGCATACATGCACAACATATAAAAAAGAATATTCCTTATGTAGCTCTTGTTCGAGCAATAAGATATTCTTCAAGTTATGATACATTTAAACGTGAAGAAACTCATATATGTATGTCATTGCTTTTAAATAAATATCCAATACAATTTGTACTTGAACAATTTGAAAGAGTTTTACAAACATTTCAATGTGCGGTGCCAACAAAAAAGAATTATTCTGAAATAAGAAGAATCTTTTTAAATGCCGCAGATAATGATGAAAAGAAGGCTGAAATTGATTTCAAGGTCAATATTTTTTGTCATTTCTCTTTTTCAAAAGGAATGCAAGATTTTCCGACCAGATTTCATCAACTCTGGAATAATTGTTTTTCAGATACAGCCATTTGTCATATGAAACCAATTCTCGGTTCTAGAAGATTAGATAATCTTCAAGATTATCTTGTTAGAAAGAAACCAGACAAATCTCTACTAAAAATTAATCAACCACTTACTTAATGGAGTTGTTGTCAAAAGAACACTTCTTATTCTTTCAGATAGGAGTTCTTTTTAAAAGAAAGGGACACTTCTTATTCCTTCGGATAGGAGTCCTTTTGTAAATCTTTTACCTCAGCTATTTGTTAAACGAACACTTCTTATAGAAGTTCTTTTACTAAATCGCTTATTTACTTGTGAAATGAACACTTCTT